AATGGGACGAAGTCCCTGTTTTATAATTCTACCGAGACAGCCTCGATTCTGCCTCGATCTTGGCCTTCGATCGAGGTCCTCGATCCTAGGCCTCGATCGTGGCTTCGATCCTGATCCTCGATCATGGCTTCGATCCTGATCCTCGATCATGACTTCGATCCTGATCCTCGATCATGGCCTTCGATCGTGGCCCTCGCCCCTGGGCTCGATCATGGCTTCGATCGTGACCCTCGACCCTGGGTTCGCATCTGAGCTCGATTTCTGGGCTCGATTCTGGCAGATTCTCGGCTTGATTATGAGAGATGGAATTTGCAGCAGAAGAAAATTGCAACAGCTATTTTAGTCCACTTTTTGATCCGTTAACCATCCGAAACTCACCCGAGGCCCTCGGGACCTCAACCAAATATACCAACAAGTCCTAAAATATCATACGAACTTAGTTGAATCCTCAAATCACCTCAAACAACGCTAAAACCATGAATTACACCCAAATTCAAGCCTATTGAACTTTGAAATTTCTAATTTCTACAAATGACTCCGGAACCTGTCAAATCACGTCTGATTGACCTCAAATTTTGCACACAAGTCATAAATGACATAACGGAGGTATTCAAATTTTCAAAATTGGATTCCGACCCCGATATCAAAAAGTCAACCCCCGATCAAACTCCCCAAAAATTTAACTTTCGGCATTTTCAAGCCTAATTCCACTACAGACCTCCAAATAATTTTTCGGACACGCTCCTAAGTCCAAAATCACTATAAGGAGCTATTGAAATCATCAAAATTAAAATCCGAGGTTGTTGACACATAGGTCCATATCCGGTCCACTTTTCTAACTTAAATTTTCAATTATGAGACTATGTGTCTCATTTCGCTCCAAATTCCTTTCGACCCAAAATCACTAATCCGGTAAGTCATAAAATAACTATAAAGCATAAATTTAACAGTAAATTGAAGAACGGGGTTAAAATACCCAAAACGACCGGCTGAGTCGTTACAATCATTCATTGTGCTAAAGCTAGAAAACAATAACTCATCATGTTTAAACTATCTAACGTAACAATAACCCAATTTAGAATTTTACGTTGAATTACCCTGCATCAGCAGAAATGGAAATTGAATTTTGCAGTCTAATATTTTTTTTTGGACAAGTTATTACCCCATCGAATCTATTTCTAATAATTACATTAAATACCATGGAGTTCCATATCATTGTGCAAAGTCCTTACAAATCATTAGTACTACTAATAACGACACAAGACAGAAGCAAAGAACTAGAGATGGGGTGATAGAAATTGGCCAAACTCATTTGTAGATGCACAATGATCCATTCGGGCATAGCTATCTAAGTACCCAGCGGTGGCAGAAACATCCACAAAATCAGAAGGCATGGTTATTTCTATATTTTGCCACGAAGTAGTAGAAAATGAGATATGGGGAGAAAGATAGGGTGACGGTACTCGAGATATGAGGGATTCGATTCTCTAAATCCCTAAATATAAGTTCAATCTGGAGAGAAGAGGGGAGAGATGAGAGAAAAAAAATATGGTGTAACTAAATCTCTTGATTGAATGCACAAATAATGGATTGAGAGCCTTTTAAGGTGAATTGTATATATTTTGTAACTAAAATGTGTTTAGATCGGGTAAATATCAAAACATGAATATTTTTCGTAATACGGTTTCAAATAGTGTATAGGAATGAAAAAATTCTTATGGTATATCAAGATGGTCCATTTTCGCTTTCTTAATAGATAAACCAAAATATATAAATGGCAGTCTATTTGGAATTTGCTCAATATTATTTATTGAACTAAATTACCACTTGTAGTGCATACTTAATAACAATTTTTTCTTTTGAAAATAATTTTGTGACTTTGTATGACACGTAGGGGTTGATTGGAAGATTTGCTGTTGAATAATAAAAAAACTGTCTTTAGATTTTTGGGGAACATAGTCACATGCACCATCTATTGTTCTGGATGCTCGTGGTTAAATTTGAAGAAAATAGCTAACGTATTATTGGTCGGTCACTGGCTAGTGTCCGACGTATCTTTTTTAATTGCACTTCAAGATTAAAATCAAAGGCAACTACGGATTTGGTTTTTGGTTCATTCTAACATGATGAGCAACTTGTTCCTTGATTTCGTTTCCGGTCTTCCGAATTTAAGATTGTAAATTCATAATGAATGATACAACATAGTAATGTAGCTTATTAACATCCATATTCCTTTTTACTGAAAACAAGTTTATTGATTGTCTTGTTGATTGTTAAACCGTAGACTGAAAAAAGATTACTACTGCTATATAAGGTACTAGTATCAGGGCGGCCCGTCCATAAAGCGGGTGAAACAATTAATTTAGGACTCATATTTATGGGGCCTCATTTTTTGGTTATACCTAAATTCTCTCTCTCTCTATATATAATAAGATAAAAATTTAAAAAAATTTATAAAGTGAAACAATATGTGAGAAGTTTTGCATAAAAAGAGAACACAAATTTGAGATAGTGGATCACAACTTTCTCGAGCAAAGTTGCATTATATTATATTTTTATACTTTGTTCTTCAATTCATGCCTCCATTCTACAATAGCCAAAGATCAAGCATTATTGTGGAGTTTCAGGGTTCAGAATTCAGTGTATTGATTCAAGAAATAGTAGAGTGTTTTGTTCGTTCTATTTTCATAATTCAAGTCTTACGACAAGTATACTCGAGCAAAAAATTTAATTTGATATCAAGTTATCCGTTCTTGAACCAGGTTCTATTATTCTATCTTTTTATTATTTTCTCATCTAAAATTTAATATTTTGCTATTTAGTGTATTTTTAGATTATTTATTAGAAGATAAGTATGTCAAATAGAAAGTATGAATCTGGTTATGAAAAACTCAAGAAAAGAAGAAGAATTCAAAATCTAGTACAATCTCAAAAAGGTGCTCTTGATAAATTTTTATTGAATTATAAAAATCTTGAATCAGAAAATTTGGGAGAGCGTTCTCTAGATAAGCAAGTTAGTAATTCGATTGAGTTAGATAATTCTAAAATTAATAATATTCAAGTAGAAAAAGAATAAGTAAGTGACAAGTTGGAAATGAAACCTCAAAAAAATCAAGAGCTTATGAATGAAATAGATAATTCAACTCCTATAAATATATATGATCCTAGTCAATGGACTTACCTAAGAAGCTTTTTAAAATTAAAATTGATAAAATCTTACCTAAGATCAACAATGTATCAAGAGAGATTAAATGTGTTAGCTATATTGTCAATTGAGAAAGACTTATTAGGAGAAATTGATTATAAGAAAATTATTAGTAACTTTGCATCTAAAAAAACTAAAAAAATTGACTTCAAATAAAAAAAAAATTAAAAACATTAAGGCCCCTCGTTAAAGTTTGGCTTTAGACCTCAAAATACGTTGGGCCGCACTAGTATATATATATAACATCTTAACAGGAAGAGTTTACTTCTAAACATTTATGGTGCAGAATTTTTTTACACAATGAGATAACTTAAAAAAGAAATTACTACAAGTAAATTTTTATAATAAACATTAATTGATAAATTCGTAAAAATAATAACTAATATCCAAGTATAATTTAAACTATATAGATAATGTAAAAAAATTGTACACTGTTAGACGGTAGTGACCCCTTGCATTTTATGTTTTTCTTGTGAATCATTGATCTTATAAGTCTATATTTTGCATCTGTCCCTATCACCTGGGTGATGCCTAAGAAAGACAAATTTTGTGTCTCCTTTTGTACAAATTATTATGACAAATTGACAATAATTAGCGTTAAAACGTTTTTCGCTCGCTAATTGATCAAGTCTGCATGCTTTTGCACAACAAATTAATTAATGACTATGACTTATAGTTATACGAACCAAAACTTTTTCTTACGTTATCAAGGTTAGTGAAAGGCATGCAATTGGGTGCATTTAGAGCCCGTGTGGACATAAGAATTTTTTCACTTTTTTTTTCAATTTTTTTTTTTTGAAATTAGTGTTTGGCCATAAAATTTTCAATTTTCACTTGAAGATGAATTTTGAAATTTTTCGAAAATTTGAAAAACTCCAAAAAGCTTTTTTTTTTAAATTTTTTTTTACTCATATCACTCACAAAACTTCAAAAATAACCCAAAATTATATTCATGTCCAAACACAACTCTAATTTTCAAATACTATTCATTTGAAAAAAAATTCACTTTTTTTTTGGAATTTTACAATTCTAAAGTCCAAACGCCCACTTAGTTTCTGTTTTAAATATATATCTTGATATAAAAGACACACGGAACATAAAAATTCCAAAATTTAAAAATTTAATGATTAAAAATCATAATGAAAACTAGATCATGTTAACCTTGACATTTTGTGATGAGGAAAGTAATATTTTTTGGAAAAAAAGTATTCAGAGAAAATGTGTAAATGACAGGATGCTATCCTATCCTTTTATTTCTCCTGTATATCCTCTCCGCTTGGACCACATTTTCATTGCAAAAACATGACAATTTTCATATTTTACGATAATTATTATTGAAGTGAAGTGTATCTAAACAAACTAAGCTCAATAAACTTTCGTTTTCGAAAATGTCCCTCCTATATTTAATTAGCTAAATTGTAGTGACTTAACTATCAAGTGAATACAAGTTTTTGGCACATTACGTGCGTGCATATCACTCAATTATTATGTAAAAATTGAGATATTAAATTAATCCGATTTTACAAATAATACTCTTTTTGTCTTAATTTATATGACACATCATCCTTTTTAGTGACTCAACAAAAAAAATATTATTTATAATTATATAAATGTCTAACACTTATTTTAGACTATAATTCTTAATATTTTATATTTTTAAAGTTTGTGCCTAATCAAAGAATGCCACGTTGTTTTTCCGAAGATAAATTGAAAAGCTGAGGGATACGTGGATAAGCTCGAACAGAAAACCGGTTGGACCGGTAATTAGGGCAGAGAAGAAAGCCGGCACTATAAAAGATAAGAAAATAAGAGTGAAGCGGTTAGGGCGTAAACGAAGAAACGAAGCCGGAGAAGAGGGCTCTTCTTTTCGTGGAGAAGAACAATTATAGGAGTATTATCTTATCCTTATTCTTACCAAAGGTACTATTATGCTAATTACATCCTTTTATTCTCAGATCTAATCGATTTAACCCTAATTTATTTCATCTGTAAGCTTAATTTCTTCTTCCTCGTTATAGTTATGCCAATTTGTGTTTTTTTTTTTAAAATTATTTGTTTACGATTTGTGAATAATAGATGGATCGGTACCAAAAAGTGGAGAAGCCAAGGGCAGGAACACCCATTGATGAGAATGAGATTCGGATTACTAGTCAGGGTCGCATGCGCAGCTATATCACCTATGCTATGACCTTGCTTCAGGTGATTTTTCATATCAAAATCTTTTTTATTTAATTTTATTGTTGTTTTCTGTTTGTTTACCGATTTTATTGTCTCAATCCCGTCTAAATAATTGCTTAGACACTGTAAATGTTGATGTGTGTACCTTTTTATTAGTAATCGGAGAAGGAAATTTTGAAGTCATGATAAAATATTGTTTAATGGATTTTAATCTATGTAAATTGTTAAATTTGTATTGATGTGGATTGTTTTCAATCGTTTTGAAACGTCCTAAGATGCTAATGTGTAATTCTTAGAAGTGTTTGTTTGTTTTATGCTTTTGTTGCATTAGCTTGCATTGAGAAGAGGGTGATATGTTGTTGCATTAGCTTTGCTTGTCTTGCCGTTAGTAACACTTATTTTAGTGGTTGATGTGTTAGCTTTTGTGTAAATTTTGGTTATGTTTTGTTAAGTGCTTGTTTATCTATTTTACTGCCTTCATCCCGTTATATATGTGTGTCTAGACACATTAAGTTTAGCTTATAAAATTTATTAGTTATAGTAGAAGGAAATATTGAAGTAATGAGTGAATAAAATTTTGGTTGATTGAAGCATCTCATCAAAGATTAAAATTTGCGTAGTTTATCGGATTTTGTGTCGTTAATATTATGAAATTTGTATAGAAAATGGATTGGATGATGGTCATGTTGAGAACACCTTAAATGGCAATATGTAGGGGTGGGCATAGTTTGGGCAAATCCGAAATCCAAATCGAAATCCGAACTTTTTGGATTTTTGGTTTGAATTTTCGGATTACAGATTGAATTTCGGATTTAATTTTTAATTTTTTTTGGATTTAGGATTGGATATTGGATTTGGTACTTCAGATTTGTGTATTTTCGAAAATCCAAATTTTTTATACTTTATATTTAGTCAATTATCCATATGCCAACAGTAAGAAGTCCAATACCTTATCCATTAGTCATTATCTCATATATTCGATTCTAATTACTAAGTTACTGTAAGGATATTTTCTATTTGGACTAGTTTTACTATTCTTACATCTTATCGGCCTTATTAATGTATTTGTTGTATTTTTTTTATAATGATTTTATTACTTGAATACTTTATTTGGCAGATTGCAGTGAGAATGAGGAACTTTTTAGGTAATTTAACATGAATACTTTATTTGGATGTTCATTTTTGTAAGAAGAAGAAATATCTAAACTTATAGGCTCAAAATCGAGAATCCGAAATATTCAAACCGATTAATCCAAAACCGAACTTAAAAAATCCGAACCAATCCGAACTTATTTGGATTGCCATTTATTTAATCCTTATACCGAATATCCAAACCGAAATTTTTATATTCAATTCGAACAGCCCGATCGCCCATCCCTAGCAATATGTAATATTTTGAAATGTTTGTTTTGTTCTATGCTTTTGAAATTGCTCAAGTTCGTTTGTCCCTGGATATAGGCCGTGGAATTTGTTTTTAATCTAACTTCTTTCTTTGGTTTGAGTTGACCTCACCTTTTGGGTTAAAGAGTAGAAGAGGATGTTATTTTGTTGCATTAGCATTGCTTATACTGCCCTTAGTAGCGCTGATTTTCCTGGTTGATGTATTAGCTTTTGTATGTATTTAGTGAGATAAGTCACTTCTAATTATTCTCAAAGCACCCCTGAGTTATATGCGCTCAATCTGATCAATTTGTCTAGAAAAGTTAAAATTAAGAGTAATCAGCAGCAAATAATTTGTGCTTAATTCTAGGGGTTGGTATCGGTCGGTTCGGTTCGGTTTTGAATATTATTGGTTTGACATATTGGTTATCGGTTTATAAATATGCTAAACTGATAACCGAAATATCGGTTATCGGTTAATTGGTTATTGATTGTTATTGATTCGGTTATCGGTTTACCCGATAAGATAACTTATTTAGAGGGAAAAGCGTAGTGTATAACGGTAATTGATCTTATAACCTTGATCTCTTTCAATTATGTTGTAAAGAGTGAACAAAAGTTTCATGGACACATGTCTACCCTCATCAAAAAATTTGTTCAGTTGCATACAACAAAATTTGCTCAGATGTACTTCATATATTCACACACGAATGAACATCAATGAGATTATGAAATGAAAGAGGATGACTTCACCATATTAACTTACATCCTACCATGACAATGACGGAAGAACTCATTATTAACTTTTTCATCTAATGCAACAATGTTCAATTGTTTAAGAGCGAAATATTAAATTTATTGATACCGTGAAATGACCTTATCCAGCAATTGTAGCAAGTGCAATAACATATTATGTAAAGGTGGCACACGTACTCTGTTCTATTCGGGAGGATCCATTGGGAGGATCAATTAGCAAAATATACTGAATATTGGGAATTAGAGGACCATAATTACAAAAGCTTCTTTCATATAAGGAATTAAGATTTGCTCAAGTCCATTTGTCCAAATACGGTAGAAACAACAGAAAATAGTGGCAATTATACCTTGAAAATTAAGAAGTCCAAATATAGTACTAACAGATAATGAAGCCCTAAGGTGGCTTTATATACCTAAGAGTAAAATTATAATTTTAATAAAGCTTATTGGGTTATCGGTTAAACCGTTAATAAAATTGGGCAAACCGAGACCCGAATCGCTAACCCAATAATCAAATAATACAAATCCGTTATCGAACCATTAACCCAATAACCCAATACATATAACCCAATAAGATTTTTTCGGTTCGGGCTATCAGTTTTACCCAATATATACCCAGCCCTACTTAATTCGGTGGAAACTACCATTTCTTATTGTTTGTGGACTCCCGTCCCTCCCCCGTTGATCTTCTTGCATGGAGGAGGATTGGAGATTTTAATGTCAGTACTTGGAAAAAAGTTTTAAAACCTAGATTTCAGACCTTGCTTACGCCTATATGTGCATGCATGTTTTTTACCATTCTATAATCAATATTATCCAGTGTGGTGTCGCTCTTCAGAATTTGTTGTCCTTTTTATTTATGCAACATTTTTAGGAAAAAGGATCAGATGAGATTGTGTTCAAGGCAATGGGCAGGGCAATCAACAAGACAGTGACCATTGTGGAATTGATTAAGGTAAAAGTGAACACTTCTTCTTTATACTTCCTGTTGTTCTACGTGTTCGATTTCTGATGAATTTTGGATATTGACATGGGCTTGTGCAGAGGAGGATTGTTGGTCTTCACCAAATAACGTCTATTACATCCACTGATATTACTGATACATGGGAACCCCTTGAAGAAGGCCTTCTACCGTAAGTGCATATTTGAAGCTTTGGGAATTAAGTTGTGATTTTTATTTAAAAAAATTAAAGTTGTGGTGCCCGATGTATTGCTCTTTATCTATATTTAACTTTTTTTATTGGCTGCAGTCTCGAAACCACCAGGCATGTCTCAATGATCACAATTACCCTCTCAAAAAAGGAGCTGGATTTGACTTCTGTGGGGTGAGTTTTTTGGTCTTTTTATAGTGGAATTTTTCTACCTTTTGGTATACTTCTTGGGCATTTTGCCCCAAACTTTAATGAAATTCATTTACTTTATAAAAAAATTGGTTTATTATATTACTAGTTGTGGAAGGAGATATTCATGGTTGAAAAATTAGTTACGAAGGAGAGTCAGTATGTAACGTTCCAATCTTGAGGAGGACTACACTTGTGTACGCTGCTTTACTCAAATGGTGCTCAATGTGCAAACCTTATAAATATGTGGTCTTCATGCAAGTATTATGATTTGTTGCAAGGAAATTGGTTTGCAAACCTTGTGGCCTCATGCTTTGCTCGCGCCTGCAGGTACCAACCACCATTGCCAGCAGACCAGGTGAAAGTGTTGACAGATTTTGACTATGATGGAGGTTTGTTGTTTTTTTAAAAGGATGCAAATACTGGTAATATGTAAAACAGAGTGGTATTATTTGCTAATATCTGAATATTTAAAAGGATCACCTAGTGGTGGACGAAGAGGCCGCGGTGGTAGAGGAAGGGGAAGGTCTAGAGGTTTCTCAGGTACGAATTCTTGTGTAGTTTTTTTTTATGTTCTTTTTATTAAGGCTCCATTGATCATGTAGGATTAAACATATGATTCAGATTGCCCCTGTAAGCAGATGTTTTGACGCTTTTGGGGTGTTTTCTTGTTCTCTTGACCGTGAGAGTGTTTCTTCTAGGATATAAAATTGGATCGTTGGTTGAATGGCCCTCTATTTGTTCAATATTAAGATGAAATAAAATGATTTTAAACTGTTACCTTTCTCAAAATTTTGTTTAAAAAATAACAGAATATCACCTTTAATGCAAGTTATGTTCTTCCTTTACAACAACCAAGCATAGAGGAATTATGCATACATGTAGTGGTAAAGGGATTCATTGCCGGGGTAGGAGGAAGTATGCATACATGTCCTGGTAAAGGGATTCATTTCTGGGGGGGATAAATCACTTTTAAGAAAGTCTTTCAGCCAAAGAATGAGACACAAGTCAATAAAGTTCGACACTAGGTGAATTCTTCCCGTCTGTCATAATTGAGGTTCAGACTGCCGCCACGTACTGTGCTGATTAAAAATAATGTATGTCATCAAAGTCTAATGAGATATGCCAGTTCTATATATTCTTCTGAAATAATGTTCTTCATTAATGATGAATGCTAATATCTTATTATAGAAATAAAGAACAAAAGAACAAGATGAACCCTAAGCTCTGAGAAAAAAGCCAATTGTCAACCCTGAACATCGTTTTCCCAGCAACTGCTAACATATACATGTATAGAAGTGTGTTCCTTTTGCTAAGAGGTACATTTCCATTGAGTGAAGTTGTACGCTGAAAATTACAATTTTATAAATTGGAACAATTCATTTTGATCGCTTCAATGAAATGTAGGCTCGTTGGAGATGGTGCTGATAATTGCCGACTTAAGGTTTTGTCATGTCTGGACTTCCACCTGATGTTTTGAATTCTTATCCTTAAAGTAACAGATTTTCATGACATATACAAGGAATACTCTCTCTTGTTTTGACCATATTCTTTAGTGCACCCGTATGTCAGGAATGATGAAAGAGTAGAGGGTTGCTCTACGTCATTGTGTAATTGGCTGATTTTAAGAATGCGAATAAAAGCGATTATTGTTCATGACATGCTGGCTGCTATCTTATCCATGCTGGCTGCTATCTTATCCATGCTGGCTGCTATCTTATTCAGGAAATGGCTTTATGTTGGCTGAATACGATGATGGCGGGTTTGATCGCAATCGGAGCTATGGTAGGGGTAGGGGTCGAGGCAGAGGTCGTAGCTTCCGTGGCCGTGGAAGGGGAGGGTACAATGGTCCTCAGGATGCCCAGCAAGACGCTGACTTCTACAATCAAGAAGCACCCATGCAGGGCCGAGGTAGAGCTTTGCTGCCTTTCCATAGTTTGTTTTCTGTGAACTATTCTGCATATTTAACTCAGTGCTGATGATCAACTCTCCTTATCTTGCTCTTTAAAAATTTATCGTTACCGCTTTCATAATTTAATACTTCACCGAATAGTTTTCTTGCATTGCATGTGGAATACTTCGTGCTGTGATCATTCTTGTTCAGAAGCATTTTATGTTTATGCTGGAATGGGGTTTATGCAATGCCCTCTGTTCTTTCTGTTTCACTCTTGAGAAGATGCATCTCCGAATAGTAGACGTCGAGTTACTCCAACTGGAAGAACAATTGCTAGTTATCTAACGATCTCTCAATACTTGCCTTCTGTAACTAAGTTTTTTATTTGTTGTAGGCCGCGGACGGGGAAGGGGAACTCGTGGTAGGGGACGCGGTTTCAGAACTAATGGGCCGATCCATGGCGGTGGTGCTTAAAGATCAAACTTTGAAGAATACAGAGATTATGTGCTATGAGTGCCTGCTCCATGTTCTATGTTTTTTTTCCCTTCAGTTGTTACCCGTGTTAACAGTAGGTTATTGATCTGTAATCAGAGTAGACTAATTATAGATTTCATTACCGCCCGTATGTGGTGAGTTTTTTTGTTTTTTTTCTTGATATCTTCTAGTATTTTCTTTCTGGTAGATTAGGTGCTTGATCAAGTGTAATTTCCTTAGTGAGCAGCACATTCTTTAATTTGTCTGTGTTAGACATGTTCAGTGTTGACCTCAGTGCGTAAATTTGCCTCTGTTTTTAGTTGGCAGAATACTCAAATTACATAATTTCTGCTGCGTTTTATACTTCTTTAACTATTGAAAGTCTTCTGCTTTTACAATGACGATGAATGATTATAGCTTGCTCTATGGTTCGTAACAAACAGTGCAACATGACACTGTGGGAGGAGTAAGGGGCTTTCTCACCTCCTACGAGTTCTTGCGTGGTAAAAGAACTTGGATCGTCGATCTCTTCCTTAAAGATTCGGATGAACCAATGTTAGTAGATGGTGTAAAATTGATACTTGATGCGATAGGTATCCCTCTCTTCTTTGAGCCATCTTAGGACGGAGTGGAAGCTTCGATCTGAGCCGAAGTGGGTTGTAAGCTAAGCTGTGTATCATGCCCTATTAATATCTTATTAGTATGGAAAATCCTGTTATTTGGTTAACTATTTACTCGCTAAAGAAAATATACCTGCTTGCAAATGCTCTTGTGGCTTTGAAGGAGTTTATTTCTTACTCTTTACATCATAGTCATACTAGCAAAGAACAAAAATGCAAGAGAATAGCAGGAGCGTGAGACAAGGTTGCTATATGAATTTACATTATTCATGTCTCTCTATTTAAGTACGTTTCAATCCGATATTGTCATTTTCTAGCGACATAAATATCTCTAACCTAACAAATATTGGACCAAAAGTAAATGTTCGAACATTATTGGATGATGTAACTGTGGTAATCTAAAACAAGAAGGACAAAATATTAGATATGGAAAATACCGTACACGTGGATGGAAATCTGAAAGCTTTAAAGAAGACTTATACAATTTGCCTTTGTTTTTGCCAGTTTCTCAAGGAAAGAATAATGTTAAGAGTTGTAAAATGATAAACCGACCAGTCAATAGTCATAAGTCATAACCTCTACAGCTTTTCTAATTCCTGGCAACAATTGCGGTGCTTTTCTTTTTCTTTTTATTTTTGCCTCTTTTGTGCAAAATTGTCCCGTTGGCATTCTTCTTCGATAAGAGCTGCAAATTTGATTTTTCAAGATTTTTGTAAGCTATTTGCATATTACTATATTATTTGGAAACTGGATATATTAATCAATCTCAAGTCTTGAACCAGTCAAACCTTTCACTTGTTAAAATGTCCGAATGATTGGCATGCAACAGTGTTTTACTTGATTGGATTAGATAGTAATCTATTCGATCTCAAATATATTTTGATAAAATAAATTTATTTGAAATACTTAACCTTTTAGGAAAATAAAAAGTTATTTTTCACTTTCTTTTCCCTATATTTGCCCTTAAAATTTTTATTAGTGAAATCTTAATTGAGTGAGACATTCAAAGAGAGGTAACAAATAATTTTGATAAATATTCTTATGATTAAGGTTCTAAATATCTTTCTTAATAGGTAGATTGGATGTAATATATTAACTATATAATCAGACGTTAGATGTGATTTTCTACAGCCAATTCCTCTAATCTACGTGTCGACGTACTGACTGTCCCGTTTGACAATTTGTTATCAAAAACCATATGGTGCCTATTTTTCTCTTAGAAAAAGAAAAAGAAAAAAGCATATGGTGGGTATTTTTGTCTCAAAAAAAGAAGGAAAATAAACATATGGTTGGTATTGAAAAAAGCATAAGGTAGACTCTTCTATCAACTACATATGTTTGCTTGACGGTGGAGACAATGATCACATGGGTAGTTTCAAGAATTGTCAAGATTGGAACACATTAAACACATATTTTCTACCAGAAAATAGTATTTTTCTATTACTAAAGTCTAAAGACCAAAAATAAAGACATGTTTCTACTTTTTCTCGATATACGCCGTAATTAAAGGCATAATTTGGTGTAAATGAGGAAAGACTTATGATCAACCAACCTTATGTCCAAAGAATCAGATTTAATCTAATTACATTTAACTTTTTTTTGTTTCTTTTGTATATATACTAAATGGTGATAATTGGAAAATGCTTTCACACTTGTGGTACAATGGAAATCCATTGTGCTAGGAACTTAATACAGTTGGATTTCAACATTTTCTTGAATCGCTGGAGTAGTACAAACATTAGTTTTTCGATCAAGTTTTGAATGATTTTCTAGTTAGAGCGCTATTTATAAAACGACAACCAAAACTATTCACTTGATTTTTCCGGTGACTCTGCTACGGATCAAAATACGCTATATGCCTATCATAACAAAGGCTCTACTTGTGGAAAATGAGTAATTCTCATCCTTTATTATAGCAAAATAGAATTTTCAAGAATATTCTGTTATGCACACTAAAATTTCTCGAGAAACACTGAAAGCAAAGCTCATAAATGACTTATGAAGATTCAGTATTTACACCAAATTATATTAGTTAGCGTAAAAAGTATTTTAAAAAAAAGGAAAAAAAAAGAGAGCCCCTCTTTATACTATATCTCAAAGATGGATTTACACCGATCATACCAGCCTAGATGGGGTAGATTTGCAGGAAATGTTATCAAGATAGATCTTAGTATAATTGTCGTTAAGTTATAAAATATAGGTAATATTTTAAAACAAAAAGGAATTAGCAGCTAGGTGCAAAGCATAATGCAGAATCATTAGTATTTAATTGGACCACAAAGGCAAGTAAAATGGTAAATAAAAAAGGTTTTAAAACACAAACATGTGGATTACACATGAGAATGATGGGACAGATGCATGTAATGTCAAAGCAAGGCCATGTGAGGTTGCATCAGATAAAATTGACGTGAAATATTGTTATATATCCTATGAAGAACATTTAATAAATTAGTTTTTCGTCGCATAAACAAACAAGAAAACACATTTGGAAAATATGAGAAAATTGAATAAAATTGAGATGAGATTTTGATCTATACTGATTCTCTGTTGGGAAAACCATGTGGTTCAGAACATAGGTTTGATATACTGAACATGGGAATAATTGAATAAGGTCCAGACATTTTTCAGATTTCTGCAGAGAAATTACAATATAGGAAATTTCATTATAAGTCTCTAATATATCAACGAATTTTAATTTTGATTCTTATAATATTTTGCAAAGTATATTTAACATCCAATTAATTAAAAATGTTTAATTTTGATTCGTCTGGATATGAATCTTTACATATTCAATGAATTATAACGATTAAATCATTTAATTACCAAGTAGTATTATATTAAATTTGTATTGCTATTCCATATATGAAAGTAATAAAGTACTAAATATAATGTCAGACACAATTAGACCTCTCTATAATATCCCTAAATAACACTTCACTATAAAAGTCAAGCTTTTCCGGAACCAATATTTATGTTATGTTATAATATATGTTCTCTATGACAACAATTCGCTATAACATCCAAAAATATTCGGAACAAACAAAACTGTTATAGAGAGGTTTGACTGTATAACATTTCTTCCATGTAAGGGGTCCAAAAACATATATTTTTGTTAATTTAATATTAAAAAGAGCTTAGTGAAATATCACAAGGATCAAAATCGGAAAATATCAGTTATTGAGGGATTAAAAGTGTAATTATCCCTTACAATATTAAATAAATGGTGTCCTTTTTTTCTTCCAAACCCAATTGCAGTGATCACATGTGAGGTAGTTGTATTAAATAGTTTGCAACCCCCTATTATAAGTAGCAAGCTACTTTTCTTGGCTAAGCCATTATTTGTACACAAGTGATCCCAACTCCAATTCCTCAATCTTTCTTTCTCCACAAAAATCTCAATATTTCTTCTTCTGCTGCTTTGCTTTAACAAAAGAAAATGGCCAACATTGGCATTTTAGCATTGGGTTTCATATTTGGATTTTGTAACCTTTTTTTCAATGCAAATGGTTTCTCTGCTTCTGGATGGCAGAGTGCTCATGCCACTTTTTATGGTGGAGCTGATGCTTCTGGCACAATGGGTAAGCACAAAATTTTATGTAGGAAGAAATTTGGTTTGTTTGTTTCATTTTATATGACACTCATTCATTTTCAGCGTGTCAAATATCCCCATATAAAATGAAATGAGGGAAAAGTAAAAATGAGCTAATCTTGATAATTAAGAAGTAATATGCAGTCAAACTTCTTTATAATAACCTCGTTTGTTCTAAAAAAATTTGATTGTTATAGTAAAGCACTCTTATAGAGAACATATATTATAACATAAAATAAAAAATTGATTTCAAAGAAAACTTGGCCATTATAGTAAATGTTATTATAGATTACAGACTGTTATAAAGATGGACTGACTGTGTTTTGTTTCTTGTGTGGGACAGGGGGTGCTTGCGGATATGGAAATTTGTATTCAACAGGGTATGGTACAAACACTGCTGCATTGAGTACTGCATTGTTCAACGATGGAGGATCATGTGGTCAATGTTACAAGATTATGTGTGATTACAATCAAGATCCTAAATGGTGTAGAAAAGGAACATATGTTACAATTACAGCCACAAATTTTTGTCCACCAAATTATGCACTTCCTAGCAACAATGGTGGATGGTGCAATCCCCCTCGACCACATTTTGACATGGCTCAACCTGCTTGGGAAAACATTGGCATTTACAGAGGTGGCATTGTTCCTGTCCTATACCAAAGGTATTTTACTAGTTTACTTCTCTCACTTTAATTTAAGTGTGTCAAATTTAGCGCATGAAAATATAATTTGTCTAGTTCCTTCACGTTTGGATAGACCGATCGATTTATGCATATATTCATTAATAGGTTGGATCAATTTTGGAGATCAATTGTTTGAGACTGATGTGTAATTATTATTAGTACAAACCCAAATCGACCAATAAAGAAACTTATTAAAAAATATAAATATAGTTTTTTTTAGGTTTGGTTGGTTAGATATAGTTATGATAATAAATGAAAAGTACTTTTATTAGCTTGATTTGGTAGTTACAAAAATTATAAAATTATAAAAATAAGAAAAAGATAAATGATTTAAGTTGGATAGATTGAGTATTGTTTAGTCAAATTAATCTGCCTATCTTGAAGCAATAAGTTTTGGGCAGATTATGACTCATTTGTTTATTGATTCAACCAATTTAGCTATTAAAAAAAAATTACTTTTTTTCTGAAATTTTTTCACCTTCTTTCAAAATTAGTGTTTGGCCATAAAATTTTTAATTTTCAGTTAAAGATGAATTTAAGAATTTTTCGAAAATTTGAAAAACTCCAAAAAATTATTTTTCAAAAATTTCATTCCAGACCACTCACAAAAATTCAAAAATAGCCCAAAATTGTATTCATATCCAAACATAACTTAGTTTTCAAATACGATTTTCACTTGAAATTTTTTCCCCCACATTTTTTCGGAATTTTATAATTTTTATGTCCAAACGCTTACTAAATTTAGTTCAACTTGACCATTTCATACCCCTAAGTCTGCTCAAATTACAATAATAACAAATCCAAACTAATTTCACAAATGGGTCTGGGGAGGTAGTGCGTATGCAAATTTTACCCTTATCTTATGAAGGTAGAGGTTATTTTCGATAAATTTAGGAATTCAAATTGTTGTCAGTTAATACATATCTGGTCTTGGCTCAGTGCTTGGACATAATTCTTTGCAATTTGACTTGAAAATTTGGGTGTTTTTTTTACAGGATTCCTTGCGTGAAAAAAGGTGGAGTTAGATTCACAATAAATGGAAGGAACTATTTTGAGCTATTGATGATAAGCAATGTAGGAGGGGCTGGATCTGTACAATCTGTTCAAATTAAAGGCTCAAAATCAAACTGGATGACAATGTCCAGAAATTGGGGGGCCAATTGGCAATCCAATGCATATCTCAATGGCCAACCCTTGTCTTTTAAGGTCACAACTACCGACGGTGTCACTAAAACATTCTTAAATGCTATCTCTTCCAACTGGAATTTTGGGCAAACATATTCAACCTCTATTAATTTCTAATTAAAGAAAGTTTGAAATTACAGGATTTAGAGTTCGTGAGTTCATACGTGATAGGCAGCGGCGTGCTTACTGTTTTGCTGAAAGCAGCCCGCCCCCTCTCCTCCCCCTCCCCTCAATTTTCTCTTTTACACTGATGGTTGATTTTTTTTAAAATTATTTTTATTTAATCATCTGATATTCGAAAAACACTGGCCAGACTAATGGCTAAGGTTCGATAGAATGATGGTGGTTAAGTAAGCCACGAACTCTAGTCCAAAGATGCTGAAATCACAAATCTGTTGAAATTTATTGTGTGTATTTAGTATAGTTTGAAATTTGCATTTTTATTGTGATATCAAAGGAACAATAAGACACTTTTTGTCTTTGATGCAAATGTTGTAGCTGCATCAAGCATACTTCTATAGTTTTTGCTCTTTCTTGTACGCTTGTAATATGGTCATTTTCAATGTTATATTATACATATTTTTGTTATCTTGTATCAAGTGTTTGTCTTTTTTGCTGCTAAATTAGTTCGTAAATAATTAAAGCAAACCTGGTTAAATTCTAATTCTTTTTTAAGTTACTAATTTTTATAAAGCCGATTAATAAAGCTTAAACTTATAAACTAATGGATAAATCTATTTCCCCTTACCAGATGGATAGAAATTTAGTCGGTTGGGTTCCACTATTTATGACACAAGTGTTGTAAATAAAAAAATCATATTGCTTAGTTAATTGAACGGACTATGTCTTCATTATGTGGACTTACAAGCAGTTGGAACTTGGAATTTTCTGTTTATAACTATGCCCTACTTTTATTATATTTCAACCCTATCTACCAACGCGATAATTCTATAATAGCATTCATAGTAAAGTCATTTGCTTATTTTTGTTTAACCCTATCCTCGATTGCGACAATAGCAAATCCTCTTTAAAGTACAAGAGAGATTGGTCCTTTTCTTGTTTTGGTTCAACCCTTTCTCATAATAAACCAAAAGTTTTAAGTTATATGTACATCGCGAATATAAATTTTTTTACACTCCTCAAATTACTTCTACTTATTGTAGCAAATAATTTGTCTAATTTTACATTTTAAAGAATTTACCTATAGAAATCCTTTTAGTGAACTAAATCATTGTTTGTTTATACGGAAGAGTACTTTCATTTCTCAACACTGAATAAAGAAATGCGGTTTTATTTCCTCTGCGGCATATAAGATTAAATTAATAAGGATACAAGAGACACCATGCGCATAAATCCTCTCACAAAATTTTCTCAAAACTATAGACACACACTTCGATTTTTTTAATATATTTTAGTTTAATCCATGGACTTCTTAAAATATTATTAACTCCCCAAATGAATCAAAAGAAAGACAATCAATTTGCCTAGTAACTATAATTTGCATAATAACCGTTCGTAGCTACTATTCAATTGTTACTAACTTGTATCATTTGTATTCAACACTAATACAATGTGTATATTCATTATGAATATAATATGTATCAACTGTAACCATATTTGTTCGCACAACGAATACAACTAAGGCGAAATACAGAAATACAAAAATAAAATATTCTTGTTGAGAGTCGAATTCAAGACCTTCACTAACTAAACAGGCGCTCTAACCAATTCAGCTACGAGAGCTTGTTGCTAACTGTATTTGTTCGCGCAACGAATACAAAATATAGAAATACAGAAAAATAAAATGTTCTTGTTGAGGGTCGAACTATAGGCCTTCACTAACCAAACATGCGCTCTAACCAATTTAGCTACGAGAGCTTGTTGCTCAATTAATCTCTTATTTTATGGATTTGCTATAAGATTCAAATATAGCTACGAATGGTAAATTTTCTGAAAGTATAGTTACAAATAGTAAATATAGTAAAAATATTTGGGGTGTCGCGTAATTTTTCCATTAAACTTTAGCATATTTACTTGAAAGTGCCACTAAATGATCCAAAGAAAGGCCTCTTTGGGAGAAGCTTTGTTGCAATTGAGAGATGTCGAAAGTTGGACCTCACTAGACATAGAGCTTCATCCATCTTTTCTGCCTTTCGGCACGGCCCAAGTAGGTACTCCAGACTAAAACTATTGGCCCAATAAATAGTTTCAACATTAGTCTTGAAACCTCTAAAATATAACTTAAAGTCGAACATAGGCGTTAGGTGCAAAAAAGAAAAAATCATTCTTACGGATACTATTTAGATATTAGTCAATCTTATTTTATCTTGAAACTTTGAACTAAAAATCTTAACTTCGGACAATTCAGGACATTTTCGTCCTTAAAAGTTGAACTGAAAAACTGAAATTCAGGATGCACTGCTAATTTCTAAATAGCAACCATTTAGAGTGGCTACCTGATGTCATTTCTACAACATAGGATATGCAATAGCAACGCTTGCATGCTAAGACCCCGATGGTGATCGAAAGAAAAAAAATAAATACTTAATTTCTTGCACTTGATGTGTTGGAAATTAAACCAAGATTAATTATTATTTCTAACTTGTCTAGGATTTGGTATTTACTAGGTTACTTAATCCATGTCTAGTTAGGTTTTATTTACCAAATTCATATTGGAATAGGTTTTGTTAGTCTAGTCAAATTTAGTTTGTAGTATTATAAATAGGGGTGCTACTACATATATTCTATTGTGGAGAGGTAGCTATGATGTAGAGAGATTCAAGAGTTTATGAGTGGTGAAAAACTTCCTACCACGTACTCTCCCTTGTTTAATAAATTTCTTCTATATAGTCTTTGTTGAATTTTTTGCTTGTGCCTAAATTATTCTTGGGGTATTTCAATCTTTAAAATTGGTATCAGAGTTTGTGTGAGATTATGTCAGAGCCTGTATGAGATCTAACAAAAAAATATGGAAGCTCTATTACCTAATTATCCTATTTTTGTGTTTGATGGAAAAAGTAATTTCGAAACTTGGTATCAACAAATGAAGAATTTTTTTAAGGCTATTGGATTATCGTCCACCATTGATGAAGGATTTGAGGAACCCCCGGAAGGTACAACGTTGACTGGTGATATAGCTACGAAATTAGAGAAGAAGAGATATTTAGATTATAAGGCACGCTACTATCTCGCTATCAAGATTGAATTACATGTATCAAAAAATATTTGCATGTAAGGTTATTAAAGGAGGCCTGGACAATCTTGGTGAAGTCATATCGAAAAGTTGCTGAAATAAAGAAGGAGAAACTACAAGAGTTTAGGAGTTAATTTGAGTTGGCTCATATGAGACTAACATAGTCTATCAAAGAACCCTTTACAAGAATTGAAGAAATAGTAAATGGTCTAAGGACCAATGAAGAAGTATTGGAAGAAGTTAAAGTTGTTGAAAAAATATTGTACTCTCTAAATTTAAAGTTTCACAACAAGAAAGTTATTTTTGAGGCTACCAAAGATCTTAGCATGCTTAGACTTGATGATTTAAAAGGTAAATTAGTGACATACGAGATATCAATGAATCAACAAAAAGATGAGACATTGGAGGAGGCATTGCAAGAAAAGGATGATCAACCAAAAGAAAAAGAAGACACACTAGATCTGGCAGAAATAAATCAAGAAGTCCAAAATTCAGAAATAAAGGAGAAAATAAGAGAACGTACATGTAATTTTTGTTGTGATAGAGATTTCATTGAAAGAGAAGAGAAGTCAAATAATGTTCAAATTGATCTGCCAAGAATTTATGCGATTATTAAAAAGAACGATTTGGTTGCAAGAGATGCCCGTCCAAAAGAGATTGATATTTTACAAGAAAAGTTATTTGATGGTATTGAAGATGAACCTAGTAACAAAAAAAGCAAGATGATTCATCAAGAGAAAATTTATGATAATCTACCTAAGATTGAAGCAAAAATAATTTGGGATTCAGAACTACAACACGTGATTATAGATATTGAAGATCTAATCAATTTCATACCATTGTTCGAAATTGCATGTTTTAAGGAGCATGATAAAATGTCTATTGGTAGCATTACTCTACAACCTGTAGAATGTTCAATTGGAGTTGAATGGGTGTACAAGTCCAACCATAAGGCAACTAGAGAAGTAGATGATTTCAAAGTAAAGGAAAATTATATTGATGATATTTTGAAGGGATTTACCATGAGTAAAGACAAATCATATATGAGCAATATTGAAGAGAAATTTAAGTTAACTAAAGATGACACTCGCGACTTTGTTGATGCAATATATTTTAGAAAATTAATAGAGAGCCTAAAGTATGTAACTTCTACAAGGCTTGATATTACTCATGGCATGCTCAAGTCTGAAGATCTTGGTTTAAAGGAGGCTGTTGAAAATTAAACCAAGATTAATTATTATTCCTAAGTTGTCTAGGATTTGGTATTTACTAGGTTACTTAATTCATGTCTATTTAGGTTTTATTTACCAAATTCATATTGGAATAAGTTTTGTTAGTCTAGTCAAATTTAGTTTGTAGTATTATAAATAGGGGTGCTACTACATATTTTCTATTGTGGAGAGGTAGCTATGATGTAGAGAGATTCAAGAGTTTATGAGTTGTGAAAAAGCCTCCTACCACGTTCTCTCCCTAGTTTAATAAATTTCTTCTGTACTAGTATCTATAATCATGTGTTGCACGTTAATAATGGTACGTGATGGTTTAAACATTTATTTATATGAAGGAATAATAAAATTTAATTAATGAGAGAATTTTATGTATAATAATACAACAATCATCTAAATGCCAAAAAATATTATACATTAGCATAATAAAAAAATTCAAAATAAATGGATATCATCAGAACTTACACAAATGATCAATTTGGTCATGTTAGTTAGATAATTATATATTATAGTTTAATAGTATTTAATGTTATGATATCTTACCGAACACTTCTTTCTAGACGATTTTTTTTGCGTGTATTTTTTCTTTTAATGCTTTGGTTGCTCTGTCGTAACCAGAATTCTTGTTGTCAATATTGTTATCTCTCTTGAAAGTGCAACATATAATTGTTCATTCAAGAACAAATATTGCGGTAAATATAGTCAAATATTTAAGATGTTTGTCTTTGTGCTTTTTTTATTGTAATTTCAATATATAAACATACTGAAAATTATTTTCACACAAATTTAACAGAATATTCTTTAGTTTCGAAGATGAAAGTTAAATTCGGGGATAAACATATACTTAGAAGCATATTGATCAGTATTGTAACGACCCGACCAGTCATTTTAAAAGATGTATCCCCGTTCGCCTATTTAATGCTCATTATGTACTTTATAACCGTTATGTAACTTGTCGGGGTAGTCGGTTCGGGTCCGGAGAGATTTTAAAATGGATTAGAACACTTTAAAGGTTGGATGGATGTCGACCTATGTGTAAACGATCCCGGAATAGAGTTTTGATAATTTTAATAGCTCCGTATGATAATTTTGGACTTAGGAGCGTGTCCGGAATTTTATTTGAAAGTCTGTAGTTAAATTATGCTTGAAATGACTAAAATAGGAATTTA